CCAGCTTGATGAAACCGGTCTAACTCACCCCTCAAGTCATTTCTGGATAAGTAGGTAACGATGGGCCGTGTTATCTGCCAATCTGAAATCGTGTGTGAGTACCGTAAACTCTTACCCACCGACATGCCCGACAACTGACTCCGATCTCTTCGTTCCGTTGACTCTAGGCCACGGTTGTTGGGTCTATGTATCTCGACTAACCTGTTGAGTAAAAGCCTCCAAGAACCCAGATATCGAGCGTTTAGGTGTAACTGGGACAACGACACAGGTGTCCAAGGGCAAAGGGTAAGACCTATGCAAGTCTTATCCCCTAATGCAAAAGTAAATAACGGAAAAGTCGCATCAGATTCTAGAAACGTTTGGCGTACCTCGAACGCAGCACAAGGCCATGATCTGCGTCGACCTATCAGTACAGCAACAATCTGCCAACTGAAACGACAACTTACTTCACAATACTGTAAGACACTAAAACATCCTGTAACTATAACGTATACACACCTGCCACTGAGTTCCGGAAATACTTAAACACACCGATTCCACGAGACCACCACCTGAAAACACTCACGAAGGTTAGGCCTTGAACTCTTTCAGTCGAAGTTGATTCAACCTTCCTTCGTGGGTTGGACAACCAGTCTATCGGAACATGAAATTTCGTAACAAGACCTTCAGTTCCCCCAGGTTCAAATCACGAGTGAGACTGATACTTGGCTGGGCTGGTCCACACCTACCACAGTGGTAAGGTTAAGAATCGTTCAATGTCCGCCATTCTTCAGGCTTCATGGAATAAACGAACCTTCTCGGACTCTTTTCAAGGATTTACGGAGAGGACAGATCTCCGGATTCCACGCATATAAGCTACGTAGCCTGGGATCGCTGCAGCAGTTCCAATGCACCTTGAGTCCAAATTTAGAGTTTCATATCTGCTGGTCACTGGGATATTGAGCGACGAAATGACCATAATTAATGGGAGTAGGTTATGCACTTACGAGGATATCACGAGGAAGGTGTATGCTCCACGATAGATGATCTGCCTTGACCATTATGCAGCGGTCGTGTGGGGTTGGACCAACAACTTCTCGCCTATACGAGAAGCAGCGCATCTTCGCCGCAGCATTGTTCTCCAGGGCATAGACGAATTGGTGTTCAGGGAAAACAATCGATCCAGGGAGCTCGAAGTTTGCGCAGTAAAGGCTCTAGAACCTTCTGACCACAGGCGGCGAAATGAAAGACGAATAACAGGGAACGTGCAGATGGCCTTCAACTAAACCTACGTACGCGTTATCTATCCATCTATGAAATGGCCCAACCGAATTGAATATTAAAGTTTATGTCGAAGGAAGGATAGGTGAGTACACGTACCGTGGTGTATATGGGTGGCACAAAACTGAAACAGCTTCGAGTAGCCACCCTTCGTACGTGTGCCAGATGGGCGCTCCAAGTTGGATAGAACGTGATGTTTAAATCATCCGGAACCTGAATATTGAATACGCACATTGCCGTCAGCGGAGAATAATCCTCGAAGTCAATTCAATCATACCCACTGCATGCAAGACCCACACCCAACAGGCTGTCATCATAAGTAAGCGCTAGCGACGTCTATGGCCCGTCCCGTGACACTACACAGACAATGCTCCACGCAAACCTTATTGATTCCGTCCGGATGATAGTGCAAACAACGCCTATCTGTATCGGTCCCGAATACGACTTGAACGCATATACGAGAGCCTACTAAAGTTCAACGTTATCCACGGGTATATGGTGAGAAGTGAATGGTATTTCAAATATTGTAACTCACGGATATACACTGACCACTTGATTGTACAGGAAATGACAACCCTCGGACCACTTATCAGCAGCCCGATGCAGGGAGGATACGTACATGCCCGTACGCACTGATCACAATCACGGAACTGTCATGGACTGTGTGGTCGGACCCAGTAGTTGGCGTACTGAACGGAGTACGCGTATGCACTTCAGGACTGATGACGAGTCCCGATTCAAGTGAGATGGATGGTGGGTGCGGTGGTGGTGTTTGACATGTCAATGGGAGCGTGAAATCGAAGAAGGGTTACTCGACTTGGAGGCAAGAGGGGGTAGTGTGCCAGTGTCAAGTGTTACCACGAGCACACAGCATGTCAATCTGACCCTGGCAGTTCGAGTTCAAGGTTACAATCCTGTATAGACCGAACCTGTAAGTTGGCGATAAGTGTCATAATAGGACGAACAAAACCAGTACTGCAGTCCTGTACTCATGAGCAGGGTTGGACTGACATGGACTGTGGGATGCGAGGAAACGAGAGGTCGGCATATGAATATTTGGGTGGCGGGCCGGGGCGTTATCCGGGAGGTTTTAGAGCCTCGTCTCGTCGTGCAGTCCAGTGCAGCATTAAAAAAAACTGAATGAAGGGCTCGGAGTTTTTCATTCAATAGGTGTCGACTGTCGACGTCGGTTCAAAAGTTTGGCGTAATAACCCTGCACAGAAGGTCTATTCAATCATACAACCACCGTCGACACGCCTAAGGTATCAGTTTGTGTGACTATGGTTGTACAGTGAATGGAGAGATGGTTGAACTGCAAAACAGCACTCTGACCTGATTTCAGGAGCAACTCGAAAGATCCGAAGAAGAATAGCTCGAATTGAATTGCGAGTTGGACGTAGAGCGGTGTGCCCAACTTCAAGGGACACCTGGCACGGTATGACGTCCCGCATCCATCAAGGGGAAGGAGTGGAAGAGAAGAACTTCAAGAAGGAGGATTAGAAGTAAGGGCAGTAGGAAGTGGGGTTTCGTACTGGAACTTGAACTTGCCTATCTCGAATTCACAGGGACGAGATGGCCGAACGTCGGTACCGCAGAAAATCAAGGAGAAGGCTGCACGAGTTCGACGTTCGACCTTGATAGAAGGGGGCAAGGGGGACAGAACTGACACTTCGACTGCCGTTTCTTGGGTATCGGAGCCGCGGTCAAAAGAACTTGCACCCGACGAAGCATCCCCTTTCCGCGCACGAGTATTCTGTCACGTACCACATAAATATTTTGGGGTTTTTTCCTGGAACTTTTGGGTTTACAGTAATGACTGGAATGTGATGACGGTTGCTCTCGACGTTGGCGAGGCGGAGAAACTCAGAAAGACCCACACACAGTGGTGACGTAAGCGGTCCAAGGCCCTCGGACCGGTTCGGGCCCCAGGCTTGCGGGTCAACTTCTACTTTCTTCATCGATGTCGTCAAACGCCTCAAAAGAGAATTCCATCTCAGCGAATATGCAGCGTATCTACGACCACAGGCGAGGGACCTTGTGCCGTGGAAATGGTCCGTATAATGCCGTCTGCCAATAGGTAAGTGAACTTCAAGCACGAGCTCAGTTCGATCATACTACCAGTCCTCGTGTCAAGTTCTAAATACAACTCGACCGGATATGGAACCATGGCAAGAGTAAGTTACCGTAGGCCTAGAATCTACGTCAGCGTCCTGCAAGTCGGTACAGTATACTGTACTGCAGTTGCTTGCTTTACGAGGAAAGTTGACGTCGTTGCTAAATTCTCTAGTCCCCGAAAGCCCTCTCTTTCCCCATCCGCGGCCACGAGTTCAAGTGTCCAAGTACGTGCGTCATATTGAAGGCCTGTGGTATTCACTCACAGGCAACCATAGGTTAAGCCGGATAATCAGTCTAACTTGCGATTGGGTTTGATCACATTGCCTGAATTTCGTCATCTCACCTCGTCCCACCTCGAACTCTCTTACAGCTTGAAGCACGTCGGATGCCTCGCCTTCCACGCGCGCTCGGAGTCCTTTGCGGAGATGTAGGGGCGTGAGGTCATACCACCCATGATTCGTTAATGGCGTGTCGCTGAAGGCGGGTAATGGCGATAGTCAATATTGAGGCTGATCATACCCGTACTCGAGTAATGATAAGAAGCCTTTCGGCTCCAATATACCATAGCTGAATGCAACGCTTCGAAGAACCTCCCAGCCCAACTCCGCGAAAACCCCAACTTCTCCAACTCGTGGGGTAGTAATGACTTGGTGATCATAACAACAAAATAGGGTTGTGAGTCGTGGTAGACTCGGGGACGTGCCTTTCGATCTCGGTGTATATATTATGCGTGTGTGTGCATCCATCCAGAGAAACAAAAACGAACTTTGACAGGCGTAATGTTGTCATCGTATGGTTACACTCAGGTTTGCAAGGGATGATAATCTGTCGATGACTCGCTGGAATTTGAAGAGAATCCTGCATGTCAGAAAATGTCAGCGTTGCCTCGGGTTTGTCGTGATCAGGAAAAAGTTGTTTGAATGTGAAATGACAGAAATTGAATGAAAATCGCAATCGATGACGGCCTTGACATCCCAGTGCAGTACTTACAGTACACTGACATCTGTGGCAACAACTGCCAGTAGGATTGTAATCGTGTACGGACACGTGTCCATGTCATCGTCGTCCACCCATATCCAGAAAAAATCAAAAAGGAAGATCTACTACTATACCGGTAGTCAGAACACCCCAATCCTCCCAAAAAAAGAACGAAATGGAAGTGAACTTAAGTTAGGTTTGGGGTGACGGGTCTCGAAGCCTGAGCCTAACGATAACATCATGATCATAAGTTGTTTATCCGAACCGTTTCCTCGAGTTTGGTTCTTGGGTCCCCACCTCGAGGCATTCGTTTCCCGTGTCCCCAGAAATGGGGTCAGGCCAGGTGAATGGCATGGCCGTGGATGGATGGATGGGATCCTCGGATGGTGATCGATTGGTGTATGGGTTACGTAGATGATGGTAGGCAGGTATTGATCGAGGGCAAGGTTGGCATGTGCTGTTGAGAATGGGAACTTCCGGCGTATGACAGAATGAGGTAGGTGCATTTCGGTTTGTTGGGTTTGATTTCCAGACTTGTGTATGGCCATGAGGGCGTCGACCCAACGATTCATCGATGTGTAGACGATCCAGTCGGTATGGTTGTGGAGGTTATCAGACGATAGAGTACTTGGTCCGATCAAGTTGAGATTCGCTGATGATGTAGTGGTAATCATGACCGAACTCAAATCGGTGTCGAGGGTTCGAATCCCTGGCGAATAAGTAGGGAAATACTTGACAAAGGTGTTAATATTTTTGGCTAATGTCGCGATGCTTGATACGATGAGGATAGCTATCCAAATTCGTCGGTGGTGTAGTGGTCAGTCATAACCGACCTCAATCGGTGGACGAGGGTTCGAATCCCTTCAGACGAACTCGGTAAGCCAGCCTAGTAGAACTTTTTGCTCCTCATAATACGAGTCCCTGGAACTCGAGTCGGGCTTATCATGCTAGTGGTTCCCATGCCAAAAGGAAGGAGGTTCGTGGAGTCTGGAGAGCAAAAATGGTTGATAGGTGGGTGTTGGTTTGTTGGGTTTGATCCCGGACTTCTTGGAGAAGGTACGTATCATTGAAGCACTGAAGCTTGTCCTAATGCACCGATATACTCCAGCTGCACTGGCGATAAACGGAGGAGGGTCCACTCCGGATCCTCGCAACACGTCACATTGCGGAGTCCGTGTGCATGTCAGTATACGTATGAAGACCAGGATATCTCGGCATCTAGTCAAGTCTGAAAGATCTAACTACCATACGACTTGAAATGTATACCTTCGTCGGTGGTGTAGTGGAAACCATAACCAGGTTCTAATCAAGCTCGGTAGACGAGGGTTCGAATCCCTCCTGACGAACTCCCGATAAAGTGTATGTCGTTTTGGGGATCTTACTACAGTACCTACTCGTCAGAATCGTCAGCACCAGGGACACTTGCACTAGCAGTGGTAATGGTAGTGGTTAGTAGGACGACTCGGACGTTGACAAGAGATAAGTTGGGATATAGCGATCTAGGACCCTCAGGCCTTTGTACGCTCGTTGCCAGTGGTGGTGTAGTGGAACTTGGAAGTCATAACCGAACGCTGACGAAGCTGGCGGTTGGACGGGGGTTCGAATCGTTCCTTAGATTCGTCGGTGGTGTAGTGGAAATCATAACCGAAACCATTAACTTGGTGGATCGGTGGACGAGGGTTCGAATCCCTCCTGGCGAACTCAGTGTGTCTTGAAAAGTTTTTGCTATTATCCCGGGCCAGCAGTTATGCTGGTGACAATTGAATACCTAGCAATTCCTAGTAGTAATAGTACTGGTCGAGGTATCAGTAGATCTAACAAGCATCGGATATCCATGTGATAACAACGAATTCGTTGGTGGTATAGTGGAGATCATAACCGAAAACAAACCGGTGAACGAGGGTTCGAATCCCTCCTGGCGAACTCACTGTGTCTTGGAAGGTTTTTGCTATTATCCCGGGCCAGCAGTTATGCTGGTGACAATTGAATACCTAGCAATTCCTAGTAGTAATAGTACTGGTCGAGGTATCAGTAGATCTAACAAGCATCGGATATCCATGTGATAACAACGAATTCGTTGGTGGTATAGTGGAGATCATAACCGAAAACAAACCGGTGAACGAGGGTTCGAATCCCTCCTGGCGAATCCCGTGCTCCGTGTGGTTTTTTTAACCACTAATAATACTATCTAGTGGTGAATCCAACGTGATAGTGTCCATCAGCAAAATGGGCTGACTGCCAGGATGCGACTGCGACTTGGTGCTGACCGGTGCCGGTCAACCACATCCCCCAGAATCGGACGAAACCACGCGAAACCAGGCAAGTCTGGTTGCATCAGTGACATCGAGGTTGGCGACCCACGTAACAGTTCCCAGCAGTTGCCAACCACCGCAACTGTTGTCCCGCCCACAAGACGATTTCCTGAAAGCTGTGACCCCCCTACAACCTTGTTGAGAATGCGCCTTATCACGACTGGATCCAGCTTTGATCTTGATCCCGTCATGGTTTCGGGAGGACAAGAGCGTGATTGCTGCATGGCCCAAGGTGGGCTGCAACGCTGAACGATTTGGGATCTGGCCTCGACGTGACGTGGCAGTGTCTTGGACAAGAACGGGATGCGGTGTGGTCGGTACGAGGAGGTATATTGGATGTGGGCAGATCAGATTTGCGATGCAGGGCATTTGGGTTGAGGTTGTTCAACGACCTCGGATTGATTGTTCATAGTATCTATACTGGTTCAATGCATGGTTTTAGACGATTTTTCCAATTTGATCGTAACATGAATATATTGCAATAGTACAGTCCGATGCTACTGGTGGTGTAGGAAATACAATTGTGCAAAATCTAGTGATTGGAGGTGGTGGAATTGGCGGAATTGGAGGTGCGATCAGCCTCCCTCTGGGCCTTGAGCTGTTGAACTAAGGCTTCGGATATTGAACCTTTTGTGATTGGCTTGTTTAGGATGTTGTCTGAGTCTTCGTCGAAATCGTCGGCGAGGTCGCCAAAGATGCGGCTATTGGTTTGATGTCAGTTGTGAATGAAATGGTAGAAGAAGGGCAACGTACTCATTGTACCACTTATAGAGGGCCTTGAGGTCTTCCTCTCGCATTGAGGCCATCATTTGTACTAGGTGGACATAAAAGTCACGATAGGGGAATCGTGAACTAGAGCCCTTGTACCCGGGAGAGAATGTCTGTTGAGTTGAGAGAACATGTCGAAGCTGCAGCAATAGAAAGCAGGTGAGCCGAAAGAAGCAAGGAGAACTAATTGTCAACATACAAGAGTGGCAGCATATGCGATCGTAAACTTTGTCACTTCTCGTATGCCATGCTTCTCTGCATTTCCAGCTCTTCCAGACGAACTTGAGGGGACAGTCTCCAAGGCTTCATCATGTGCCGCTCCTGGACCCACAAGAAGATGGCGGCATGTCTAAAGCGAGCTAATTGAGCAAGATAGAAAGGAGAGGAACTTCACACACCTTCAAAACTAATGGCCCTTCCATAAAACCATCCAAGACGTTTTCAGGGTTACAGGTCTCGTTGCGCCAGAGAAGACGTGGGAGAAGGTCGTAAGGAATTGTGATCGTCTTTGAGCGAAGGTCCTCCTTGACACTGGACACAGAGAATTTCAAGAGAGCTCAAAGGCAGAGAATTAAGAAACGTACGCAGGATCCTTCCAATCCATGTTTGGAGGACACAAGAGGGCTCCCACTGCCTCGTGGTGAAAGCCAAGGGACCCGCGCTGGAATGCATTGAAAGGCGGGTCAAACTTGCGCCAGCTAGGAATGTTTGTCTTGATAGAATGTATATCACTTCCGCGAGCTTTGCGACGGCCAAAGTCAAGCTGATGGAAGGTGAGCACAGGATGGAGAGAGTGTGGTAGGGAGTACCAGTTTCGCAAAAGAATAGATGAGGGAACTATTGTGATTGATTTCGTCGTGGAGGCGAGGCACTTGAAGCAATAGGTTGTCGTAGGTCTTTAAGACTAGGCGTTGTCTAGACAAGTGGATAGGTCAGTATATGCGCAGAGAAAGATAAATTTATTACCGTTCGTTTGTTGGAGGTTCATCTGAGTCCCATTGAATACCGAATTCTAAAGGCGGGAGGAAGTTGCGGAACATCCACCCGAACCTGCCAATGATGCGCCCTTTTGAGCGAAGATGATCCTCAATTGGCCTAGAAGCGGTAATCTGTGACTAGCCAGAGAAAAAGACAGGAAGGTGCTTACAGATTATCAATGCGGGTACCAGCAGAAGCCATGACCTCATCGTTGTCCAGGAAGTCAGCATAATCGTCTTCGCCGTCTTCTTCTTCTTCTTCAGGTTCATGTTCATGTGTGCTAGAAGGGCTCAAGGGCCTGTGTTTGGAGACTTGGGAGGCCTTGGTATTAGCGTATCCAGTGGAAGGGCGAGGTGACCTGCTCCGGCTGGATCGACCACGCTGCCCCGTGTTCAAATGCTTTGACTTGTTGGACTGTTTCTGTGGCCCCCGAGGCTTAGACAGCTTTTTCTGGGAGGGAGAGTTGGAAGGATTGGAAGGTGGCATATTATAGTGAATAGTAGAGTAATGGTGATGGCGATGGGAGGAAAGGAATGATGGATGACGCACCACGCAGAGGTTGTAAGGTGACAAATCACATGACCTTGTGACAGGCGCGTTGAAAACCAGACAGAGTTGTCCGAAACTCAACGCGTCGCGTTGCTCTTATCATCACGTTTACTTTCCCTCATGTACAACTATGCAAAAATAAAATATGATTGATCAAAAGGGCTATTACAGCTCCACAGGCACAAGTCAGTGTTCGTATTCCTCTTCGTCAAAGATGCTTGAATCATCGTCGTTGTCGTGACTTGAAAATCCAGGGCCGAGTCCCTCCACTTGAGAATTGAACCATGCTTCGACTTCATCCTCCCTTTCTGGCTCCACAATCTCAGTAGGAACTACAGTAGATTGATAATGGGGACCAGATGGAATCATCTTGAGTTGGCCCGTTTCTCTCGGAAAGTCGGGAGGAAGGCAATGACCAATGCCGGAACCCAGATACCGCATGACCATGTCCCGGTCCACGAATCGGTTGACGTAGTAAGACTTCCAGTCGCCGTCTGGATGTCGGACCAAGGATCTCCCCAGATACTCAATGGTCCTTCCTTCTGCAAAGGCGGGAATAAGGTGACATGGTCGGATCACCAATGAAGGGTGAATGAATCCAAACGCCTGAGGATTAGAGGCAGGGAGAAACGTCAGGCGGTCCAATCGGAGACCTGAAGGTCCAGACGACCACCCAATGTCCCATTGAAACCATCGGACCCAGAGAAAGTCTACACGCTCAGGCTGCCACGAGTCCTTGAAGTAAACCATTGCGTGATAGACTCCTAGGACATGGGCATACGAGTAGGGATGTGGACTATCTTCTAAAGCAGGTAGCATGACGTTGCAGCGGATTCGTTCATCATATAGCCGGCGGTTGATGTTGATCCCATCCCGGTCGCGGCGAATATCATATGTGGTATAATTGAAGCTTGCTCTTGCATGGGCGTAGATTTGTTCGTAGCGGATCTTGACCTCAGAGAGCTCCATGTCCGTAAACTGGCAAGGCTCGCGTGTGGGTGGGAGGTTTTGATGTTGAGTGAGCAGGTATCCTTGCAATTGTTGATAGAAGTTCTAGCGTGGCCATTAGAACTTGTAGCAATTGCGGCAGGAGAAGCGTACCTGAAGTGCCGGATCCCTGGAGTTGGTTCTGAGCCAGCCCTGCAAATCAACTGCATCTCTAGTGTGGTGAGACGCCACGTTGTATCTCTGCCCCAAAAGCTGAGCGGAGAGCGGATCTTCCGAGTCGGAACTATGCTCTGGCTCATCCGCAGGTGCCGAGTGGTTCAGGGTATCCAGTTCGGCCCTCATTCGAGCATGGATAGACGTGATATCTGAAATCTTCGTGATCTGCGGCACTGCGTTGTTCTTGTTGGTTCGTTCATTGTAGCCCTTGATGACCCAGTGGTTGGATTCTCCCTAAATTGACGTTGAGTTCGGAGAGTGTATGGTACGAGAGTAGTGTACACACGGTTTGGGTTGAGTATGAGTCCATGGTGCCAAAGTGACTTATCTGATCGGCATAGTCGCCTAAAGCATGGATTTTCGAAGTTTCAAGGCTGAAGGACTTGAGTTTTTTGCTATCCGAGTCTGATAGAAGATTAGAGGTGGTCTGAAGACCCATAATCATCTGCTTACCAACTGTAGTCTTTCCCTTTTGTAGGTTGTATGCGGCTATCCTGCGTTTTCGAGCCTGGAACTCCTTGTCCGTTTCGCACGTCTTGAAATGCACACAGGTTTCTTGAGCAAAAAATCGAAGGGCCTCTCCCAGATGAGTGGTTGCGAGTCTCAACTCCTGTATGGTCAAGTCTGTATGCAAACGGAGCTTGGCCAAACCATGGAAATAAGCCAAGGTGTACAACAAGTCCGCAACAGTATGATGGTCTTGTTCCGGAAGAAGGCCGTCGACGCACGGAATGATACACTATTGGGACACACGATAATCAGCTAGTACCTGATTCAAAGCTTGAGTCGCATACCTGAAGAATATCCTCGTAATCTCGTGCAGCCAATTTGCTAAGATCAGAAACATTAGTGGAGAACTTTCGGATTGTGCTCGGACCAAATGGAGCCACCCGCCGGAATCTGTACATGGTTGGTTTAACTGTCAAATGGATAATTGAGAAGCAAACCTTTCATTAAATATATGCACCGTCTCCGTGCCCAGAGAGAATAGTATCCGGATTAGATGCTGAAGCAATGCCTTCCAAACACCCAGCTCCAGCTCATGCATAAGGTCGGTAACAACCAATTGGAAGACATCAAGTCCGTGTTGGCGAAGGCGAGGATGGGAAAATGCATTCTAAGGCCAGGCGTGCATCAGCCGAAATCATCACG